TTCACGCCAGCCTGGTCTATAAAGTGAGTTCCAGGCCAGCTGGGGCTACAGGGAGACCCTGTCTCAAAAAAACCAAAAAAAAAAATTTTTTTTTAATTTTTAAATTTGGAGTATTTACATATATAATAATATCTTGGAGGATGGGAACCCAAGTCTGTTCAAACAAGGAATTCATTTGTTTCTTGTACACATAGCCTGAAGGTGATTTTATACAATATTTTAAATAACTGTGCATGAAACAAAATTTGCATACATCAAACCATCAGAAGCCAGGTATAGAAGTTTCTACTGGTGGTGTCATGTCAACACTCAGAAAGTTTCAAGAGTGAAGAATTTTGGATCTTGGATTTTGGATTAATGGTGTTCAATTTGGATTAGAAAAAGTATAAAGCCAGACACGGTGGCACACACCTTTAATCCTAGCACTTGGGAAGCAGAGTCAGGAGTACCTCTGTGAGTTCGAGGCCAGCCTTGTTTATATAGTGATTTCCAGGTAAGTCAATGTACATAATGAGACTCTGCCTCCAAAAAACAATATGAGGAAAGGCCTGCAATGTGGACTTGAGCCAGGAAACCACAGTGTGCGCCTGTAAGCAGAAGGACTACGGACTGGCAAAGGGGTCTCCTTAACCTGATCCTCACCGTGCTCTTTACTGAAGCAACTTTCCTGTCCCTCTCCTGACACTGAAAATTTTGTGAACTGGAGAATTTCTTGTACTGAGAGCCTGGTGAAGAGGTGAGAGACTCGTGTTGAAGTTGAACCTGTCCTTCCAGAATAGAGGCAGCACCTACAAGTGCTTGTTGAATAAATACTGACAACTATTCTTTGGAAAAGATTGCTAAACGTAAGCTACGCCTTCTATCAAATCTGGCAGACCTGATGTGGTATCCAAACCAAGAATCCTAGGAAATTATATGAAGCAAATTTTCTTAATTAAGTATCTAGGGTCCCAATTTTCAGCTAATTTATCCTGAGGAGCTCATTAGAACCCCAATCTGCTCAAAATAAAATCAATTTAGGAATATTTATATTTCTTCTATGGGAATTTGATTCTCTGAAACTCAAAAGCATTCCCATTACAGTTTGTCAACTGCCCTTTACAGAGCAGGCTATTAGGGCTTTGACTAGTGCTTGTTAGAGTTTCTGGATATACACAGAAATGATGCTCCTGACAACAATTTCCACAAGCTATCCTGTAGCACAGCTGCAGGGAGAGCAGAGAGGAATTTCCATTACAGTGGAACTGTGTGCCAGGCTCTTTGAGTTCATAGCCAAAAACCTTTTGTCCTTTTTTACTTGTTTGATATTCAGTGTGCATGTGAACTTTCCTTATGTAATGGTATCTGCAAGTGGCCCCAATTTTGCCTTCAAGCATCTTCTTTCCATGGAGAAAATGAATGCCCATGAGGCCTGGCCCAGTGTTCTGATTACTCCTCAAGGTTCTCTAAGCCACATCTTGGGTTAAGTTCAGGCCACCAGAAGGTTCTGTTATCTGCACTCATCTATAGTACAGATCCTCTCCTTGCCCACCCCAGAAACCAGAGACTAATGATCTTTCATGTGAAAGAATCAAACGGAGTCATTTTTAAAAAACTTATTAAAGATGTTTAGCCTAGTATGCTTTAAGAGAACAAATTCTTTTGGAAATGTACAACCATGAGTTCATCTTCTTATTGAAAGAAAATAGCTGTTTCTATTGAACAGTCCATGGTTCTCTTTTGCTTGCTGCTGGAACAGTCACAAGTAAGTTACAAATGCTTTTCTTGAAGCATAACAACTGTTTAGCTGTTTTATGTATTGGCCTTCCTTTTAAAATATGTGTTTAAAACTCGAAGCTACCATATCAGTGCTTCCACTGTGTTTAAATTACCTGAATCCTCTTGCATAGTGTCTAGTGTTGATTTAAGCACCAGTCTTGTGACACTGGGGTACGTGGAGGACACAACGTTTTTCTCTTCTGTGACTTGAACGTGGATACATTAATTGAAAACTTTTGAGAAAGGAAAAAATATTGGTCTTATCCTTCAGGCACAGAGTTTGCTTGGGACATCAGAAATACAGGAACTTAGAGACTGGAGAGACGTCTGACAGATTAAGAAATACGGGATCAAAGGGAAGAGATGCTGGAAAGGCCACAGAAATCTTCAACAGCAAGAGGCTTCATTTCGACTCAAAGAAAGAAAATGACAGTTGGTGGAAAAGATAAAGGAAAGAAGATGAAAGAGAGACAGAATCTTTGAGAAGTACAGCCCTTTGAAGCTGGGATGGTGGTACGAGCCTGCAATCCCAGTACTGGGGAAATGGAAGAAGGAGGGTCAGGAGTCCATGGTCATCCTTGGCTACATAGTGAATTCAAGGCCAGGCTGGGCTACATGAGACTCTGTCACACACACACACACACACACACACACACACACACACACACACACATACATCTTGGAGTAAGTTTAGAATTTATAAATTCTTGTTGACATAAATTTAAAGCAATGAGAAAGGAAAGCCCTTCTTCATAGTACACTGACAATTTTCAAGCTTGAAAAGAATGATGGAGTTAGAAGTGATCAAAGGGTGCTAAATGATGGGGAGTAAAGATGCTCACTAGTGGGGTGCTCCCCAAGTCTAATAAGGCTGCCAGTCTTCTACTGCTGCAGAAACCCAGTGACTGACCTCAACCCATTGTATATCTCAGTGGTTCCAAATCTTTTATTCCTATAACTACTAAAATATTCATATACCTTTATTTACGTATAACATGTAAGTATACTGCCGGGCATGGTGGCGCACGCCTTTAATCCCAGCACTTGGGAGGCAGAGGCAGGCTGATCTTTGTGAGTTCAAGGCCAGCCTGGTCTACATAGTGAGTTCCAGG